ACCTCCCGCTGCAGCCGCTGCGAGCTCTTCTTCTGCCACACGTTGTACTTGGAGTACTTGGCGTGCGAGGGCTTCTGGAAGCTCTCCTGCAAATCGGGCGGGATGGCAACGTCAGCCTCGCTGCGACCCTGAGCGCCCCGCGGGTAAGGGGTGTCCCTCTCTGAGCTCTGGCCATCCCATGGAAACATCCCGTTGCAAGGAAACTTCGCCTCATCCCAGGAAACATGACCCCATCCCATGGAAATGTTGCCCAATTCCATTGAAATGCTGCCCCATTCCATGGAAATGCTGCCCCATCTCATGGAAATGTTGCCCAATTCCATGGAAATGCTGCCCCATCTCATGGAAATGTTGCCCAATTCCACGGAAATGTTGCCCCGTTCCATGGAAATGTTGCCGCGTTCCATGGAAAAGTTGCCCCCGTTCCATGGAAGCATCATCCCATCCCTGGAAGCATCATCCCATCCCTGGAAATATCACCCCATCCCTGGAAACATCGCCCCATTCCATGGAAACATTCCAAGTCAGGCTGGATGGGGCTCTGAGCAACCTGGACTAGCTGAAGATGTCCCTGCTTGCTGGACTCGATGACCTTTAAAGGTCTCCTCTGACCCAAACCAGCCCACTTCTGGTCCCTCACCTCATCAAGCGCTGACTTTCTGCAGGGCATGAGCTGCCAACAGTGGCCACCTCTGCAGAAGCAGCAGACCTTACAGCTGGAGTCTGTCCTCTCCCACCCGTGGCCTTCCCATCTTTTCTCACGCCCGTTATCTGGGAGAAAGGATGCAGCCCCCCCTCTACCTTGCTGAGCGCCGGCAGGCTCCCCAGGGAGGTGGCAGAGAGGTCCCGCTCGGACTTGACGGACTTGGCGCAGTAGGTTTCCAGCAGAGCCAGGTCGCAGCTCCGAAAGCAGCACTCCTCCACGATGCCCCGGTTGATCCGCCGGTTATTTCGTCCCACCGGTCTACCTGCAACAGCAGAGACCTCCGGTGTCAGCCACCAGCCTGGGCTAGACCCTCTCCCCACTTTTCCACCCCTCCTCTTGCAGGCATCAACCGCCCCAACCTTTCCACAACCTTCCCTCCCTGAGCCACCAGAGACCAGCAGGTCCTGACTCTTCAAGAACAGCCCAAACCAGCCGAATTTCACGTTCAGACTTTCCAGGGCAAACGCTGCCCAGGCCAAGAGGCCTCCCTGCACGCGTTCGGCGCCCATTCAAGGCACTTTATGGGGATTTATTCCCCTCCTATACCCCCGGCGACCCTTTTTAGGCACAGGTAAAAGCGAGGAAGCCCCAGCTCGGCTGCTGGTTCCTGCGACCATCTGCGATGTTGATCCTGGCAAGCGAGTTTTATTAGAAAGAAGCCGGACGGCGTTGCGCCTGCCAACCTCCCTCTGTCGGGTCAGCGCCCAGGCAGGTGAAGAGAACCAAGGCGGTTAAATTTTACCAGATGGGACAGCTCCGAAACAGCTGCAGAAAGAATACAGGCTCTTGCACCTGCCAAGAATAGCTATTAAACTTAATCTTTTAATAAGGGCTCCTCTCCCCTTCCTGCCTGCAGAAGGATGCGAAAAGCCCGCGGTCAGCGCAGCAAGACGCGAGCGCATTTTGTATCGCCGCTTAAGGCGCTCCGGAGGAAAAGTTTACATCAGTTCTACTGGTTTTTCTTCCACCTCTTGAAACAGAAGAGATGGGCAAAATGGAATTTCCGACGTGAAACCGAATTTCCTTGGGAAACGCGAATTCCAGGCGCAAAAGGAAAGGTCTTTCTCCACATGCGGCACGTTAACGCGCTTGTGCTGCCGTGAGCACCAATCCCCAGTGCGAGGTGCCCACAGGGAGGGGAGCGGAATCGGGCACCACCGGTGCTTGGCGAATGGGAGAATTTGAGCACAGGAAAAACTGAGAGCACGCGGGCGCAATACAGGTATCCTCACTGAGGTCTTCGAGAGCAGCCATGGCGCTGGGGCGGCTGGCTCCCAGCACAAAACCTGCCTTCGGGAGTCATTTCAAATGCTCTATTTGCTGCATTTCTTCCCTCACACTCTTTTTCTTTTGGAAAGCTTCAGGCGTGACCTTTAGCCCCTTGAGAAGGATGGTTCCCTCTTGGTAAAGGCTCAGTGAAGTTCAATTTTCACTGGTAATTTTCACTATTAGATTAATGTTCTCTCTATAAATGACAACAAGAACACTGGATGGAGCCCTCCCTTTACAGGCAGGGTCGGTGCAACATTGGGTGCACGAGGGATGTCAGCACAGGCAATTCGGGTGCTGAATCCCAAGGGAGACAGGGGAGAGGAGCCATATATATATATTTTCTATACGCATGCAATGCCCAGTGAGGTCCACAGTTGGCGCATGCTGCCACCAAAACCCCACAGCATGCACAGTCCCTGCTCAGCATCTACCCACTCCAGCGCCCAAACCTGCATGGCAGCAGGTTGCTGAAGCATCAGGCTGCTCCCGAAAATCATCCTGTGCACGGGCAGAAGGAGAGTTTGGAGGGAAAAAAGAGGAAAAAAATTCAAGTCACTCCCTCCTCTTGCTAGCACATCCCCAGAGGGCTGCATTCACACTGAACACAAGGTCACGCTAGTGACAGCACGCACAGTTCGGAAAGAAATTGAGGTTTCAGAAGGTTACAAGTGTCCTCTCGAAAACAGAAGTTGCCCGCTTGCAACTATGAGTGTGTTTGGAAAGAAGAGGTGGCAAGAGGAGGAAAAAACCCAGCGAGAAAAGCGGGACCATTCCCACCGCTTTGCCACCAAGGACACCTTCTGGAATGGGACGACCAGGGCAGCCCGTGTTTTCCAAGAGCCAGGTGTGGCATGGCCAGGGTGAGCTCCCACCGTGGCAGCACGGCCCCCATCTCCGGCTCCGACCCGCTCCTCCTTCCCTCTTGCTGCGTGCTGTTCCCTTCACTGGCCACGGTCCGAGAGCCACATTTCCCATTACATAATCATCCGTACAGATCTCGCCAAATGCCAATACAATCCTCCGGGGGACAGTTACTTTAAAAAAAAAATAGGCAAAAATAACCAACAGGGATTTAAGTTGCAGAAAGTACCTGGAATGCGCAATCCAGGGAAGAGTTGGCAGCACCTTGCTGCTTTTACAGCAATATCGACGCTGACCTGGATAGGGAAAAGCGTTTGCTCCGTAACATGATTTACTCATGGACTAAAGGTTGAATTTCCTGGCTTTTGCCCAGGGGTGACATCTCGCTTCACCACGGCTGCCAAACCCAGGGAGGG